AAAAGAAAAAAAAAATCCATCATACCTTTTTGATGACCCATGGGCTGATGATGTCTGCTAACATACTGATGATTACTTGAAAACGATTTGCTCACAGGTACAGCAGACTCAGGTGAGATCTTCTGATTTGCATGCTCACTTTTAGATATGGCATTGAATGGTTTTGCTGACTCCCGTTGTTGAACATCTCGTCCTGAATGTGTATTTGGCAAAGGGGTGCTCTGAGATACCGATGGCTTGGCCGAATTTTCAGACAACTGGCGGCGAGGTCCCACAACACCAACCTCCCGCCTGATGGCCCCAATGTTAGTAGCGGGTCTAGAATGGGGGGATGGCACGTGAACAGGATCAGAATTGGATGAATAAACACCCACAGCCGAACTACTGGAAGAACCTGCCGAATATGGTTGAGAACCATTCGCCTTTGTTACCCGTGAAGTAGCACTTGGAGCCAAGAGGTGCTTCTCCCCAAGAATTTCATTCCCGCCATTAACACCTGATGCAGTAACCTTAGCTTGCTTCGGTTGTGTAACAGTGGGATTATTAAGAGCCCGAGATGAATGCTGACCAACTGAAGGCTCTTGATGTCCAGAAGTTTCAGTAGAACTGCTGTAAAGAACTAAGTTTTAAACTAATGCTCAAGCCAAACACAGAACGTACATAATTTTAACTTTAGTTCGAAAGGTGCAAAGAATACCAGTTTTTCTGTTTTCTGGTGTAATTTTCCTTTATTTATTTTTTCCCATAGCTTCTGTGCGAGCAGGGACTAATAGAGTCTCTCATAAGACTACTACGATATCTATCAATAAAGCATTATGTAACCTCAAGACAACTAAATAAACCAAGGACGGTCACTGAAACCTAAAATCTGTAATATAATAAAACAGCTACTTAATTATTAGCGTGGTTGATTATGGACATCCTAGCTTAGCAGATGAGGCATACACGAGGAAGCGAAAGAACTACCACAATTAGATATTTTTTTATTTTTTATTTTAAAAAGACTTTATTATAATACCTCATGGTAGACCCACTGGACATTGCCACCTTGCTTGGCCATTGAGCAGGTTTTGAGTCTGCACTAGAATTCTGATTAACTCTATTATCACGGACAACCCGAAACTCCCGGATAGCTCCTGCATCCAATTGAATTAATTGTATGAATGAAATGAGAGTTGATTGCAAAATTACAAAAGCAACATAATTCCAAGAAGATAATCACAACATCAGGATCCATCATCCATCCGGATTTCCCTTACAATTTTAGGTGATCTGGGTTTTGTTTGTTTCCTGAAACAGCGATGGTAAGTCACTGTATTTGCCTACTTGCTGATATATCCAGAAACGCTCAAGTCAAAAATAGACTAGTCCAGAATATATTATGAAGTGAAATTCATAGGATCAGAGAGTGAGATAACAACTTCTCGGTACGAATAAGAATCTCACAACTTCTCGGTACGAATAAGAATCAGCAAATGGAAGCAGTTCGATTTCCAGAAAGGAAAATTAGCAAAACTCTCATTGGGACAGCAATCCATGAGGAAATCCTAAATCCCAACAGCACAAATACTCAAATTGAAAGGCACGGCAGAAGTATACAGGGGTTCATATTACCAGTTGCAGTATCTCGACTATAGCCACTTCTACGAGCATTACGATCAGAGTAACTACTGTTCTTCACCGGCATACGATCAGAGTAAGTACTGTTCTTCAATGGCACACGATCAGAGTACGTACTGTTCTTCACCGGCACACGATCAGAGTAAGTACTGTTCTTCACCGGCATACGATCAGAGTAAGTACTGTTCTTCAACGGCACACGATCAGAGTAAGTACTGTTCTTCACCGGCACACGATCAGAGTAAGTACTCTTCTTCACCAGCATACGATCAGGCTCAGTGCTTTTCTGAGGCTCTGGAGTAGCAAAACTCTTGTAGGGTGCACTCTGGGGCTTAATACACATGAAAGAGAAGTTCATACGTTAAGGGAACATAACAGGAGAGCAATATACAGATACTTGATTAGCAACTAAATCAACGAATAATAGATGGAAATGAACAAGAATACAACCTTTAGATTAACAGAAAGTTAGCTCAAACGTCTATATACGACCATGACAAACAGCAATAGTCAAGTCCATAAATATACCTCCTTTTTTCTGTCTCTTCTTCTCTTCACCTCATGGAATGGATCTGCATGATAAACAAGTTGCCAAGAAAAAAAGGAAACTCAGTAAAATATATATAGAGATGAGTAACATATACAATGGTTGATAAATCTAATATAGGGGAAAAGAGGCAACTACAATCTCCACAGTTTAAACTGAAAAGCTACATGTGGATCCACGAAAAGAACACATATTGCTGGACTTTGAATAAAGGAAAAATATGATTCCACAAATATAAAAATATTCTAACGCGAGCATAAAATTAAGCTTTTGCAGGAAATCACAGACATTTATCTTCAAACAGTTCTTTACAGTGTTTGTTTCATCTCAAGTATCCCCATCACTATTTCAATCCATTAAATTGATAGAGTGAGAGCTACATATCAATATCCCGACTCCACATCTATAAAAAAAATCATCCAAATACGCACTCATTACTGCTGTTCCATGAAGTGATGAAACATCACATGCAAGAACATGTGAGGAAACATCTACAGAACTAACCTAACAACCCAACTCTAAAAGCACGTGAAAACCTTATAATTCACATAATTTAACCATCTCCACACCCAATTTCAATAGTACCACTTTTTAATCTATCTGCATTGCCCAAAAAAAAAAAAAGAATGACCTTACTCGGTGCACTTTTCGTACCAACTGATCACTATTCACGCATTATTTCTGCAGCCATGCCAAAAATCCCAACTTGAACATTAAACTACCCAACCAAACGAAAACGCACAGAACCAGCAAATCTCGTCAAGAAAATAAAGGAAAAATGAACTCAAATGAAGAAAAACTTCCAGGGACCTTGATTGAGCAATTTTTGCGCAGTTTCATTAGGATCCATGTTCGACTCTTTAAGAGCCACGTAAATATCGGCATCCGAGTGATTGCCAACGATCTCTTTAATCGACTGAATAGTTCTGCGCACACCCACCGATAGAACTTGCGCGCCGCCGTCGACTCTGGAGCCAGATACCATTTCCGATATCAGAATCAGAAAGAAGAATCTCAGGTGATATACGGAAATTAGGGAAAGTGAATTCGCATTGGGGAGAAATAGAACGGCTGAGAGAGGGAGGGAGAAAGGCAGAGGTTTGAGAGCGAGGGTTTTGAAAAAAAAAAAAAAGAAATTAGGTTTTAGTGATGGCGAAAATTTGGGGGAAATTTTGGTTTAAATTTGGTAGCAATTGTAAGTGGCAGGCGGAGGAGTAGGTACGGACTAAAGGTGCTATGAAATTCCACAATTATCCCTGTGGACTGTGGAGTGATTACCAAACAAGCCTTGGTTTAATAATGAAATTGAGCTCAAGTTTAACTTATATATTAATTTAAAAACGCTCGAGCTCAAACTTATTTTAGTAACGATTCGAATTTAAATATCAACATTCAAATTTGACACGACTCGTGATACATGAGAATGTTTAATTTGATCATTATTGAAACTTATTAATTCTTTGTAGGATAGATGACTATTTCATTTGATGATTACTGAAACTTATATTCTTTGTTACAGTGGTATACACGTGACAAAAGGTTATTTTCATCCCTTAGAATAGAATAGTATCATAATTACAAATCATGGAGTTATTCTAATGGTTCGATTTCAATTAGCATGATAAAGTACTAAACAAATTTAAATTATGCTAATATTTTTGCAATTGTTATCGTTTCCCAACATCATACTGTTGTTATTATGCATGCAAGTTTTCCAAAATCATATTAATTGTTATTATTCATGCAAGGATAACAAAATTATTCTGACAAAATTATTCTGAGAGATTTGATCGTTCAATTTCAAATTGATAATAACGTACATTTTTTTTATTAATCGGATTAATTGATGAGTTGTTGATTGTTGTACTAAATCCAAAATATCAAAAATTTGAAAATCAATTAACCTACATTTGAGATAATCACATTTTCGCCAAAGAACATCTTCTGCGAACATCAAAATATCAACTCAAAATTGGCAAAAAAAAAATAAAAAAAATATCAACTCAAAAAGTGGGTGGATAAAATAATCAAGGGAAAATATGATTAAATTAGTTTATTATTATTTATGGTGGAGGGCCAATGATATCCTGACGGGCCAATGATATCGGATAAGTGCCCTTATCGTAGGATACCTACCCTAATACATGGATATAAACGAGCCCAAAAGAAATATATTAATCCAACTCACACTCACTAGTGCTAGTATCCTTTTGAAAGGTTAGGTTCGATCTTACATGTTGTGTATAGTGAACAAATCGGGTTTCTTACTATCGGATTGCACACATATATACACACACCCGAGTGTGTATTGATCCAACGGTGAGAAACTTTGCAAACATTTGTAGGGTATATTCTTTCACATCTTGGAAATAAACAACCAACAAAACAGAGTAAAACCAGTTAAAAACATGTATAAAATCACAAAGGTTGGAAAAACTAGTGTGTGAAACTTGTATACCTAATGGAGGAATATGCAGCATTGTGGATCATTCTTAACTCCTATAAAACAAGAGTCAATTAAAAANAAAAAAAAAAAAAAAAAAAAAAAGCTACCCAGAAGATTCTTAGTCTAGTACTGAAAACAAAAACTCGGTTATCTTTCACAATTACAAATACCCTCTTGAATCACATCTGCTTTCTCTTTCACAAATTGCACCATCATGGCATGGTAATTCTTGACAGGTTTAGAAAGCATCAAGGGGTATCTGTAATTATGGAATATAATTGGTGCTTCTTTGTAATTATGCTAAATGTCGGAGGTAGCTGTTTGTAACAACTGTGAAAATAAATTCGGAATAAATAGCGTGAGTTTCCCCTACTTTAGTGGAGCTGATCATAGGTATTGTTGTTGGATCCTGGCTCTGTTCTCGTTCCACCATAACCGTGCCTGCATTTCTCCAAATTGATCTCGGCTGCATAGGAAAATTCCAAGTTAGGAAAGAGCATTGCTATTTGCTAGTCGATATTTTGTATGTAGAAGAGATTTTAAGTTAATGTTTGGATTGGCAAAGCAGTGTGTTGACATGATTATGTGAAGACAAATTGGGTCCATACAGCATGATCTTTGAATTATGATTTTAAACGGTACAATAATCCGATGTTCACAGATGAACAGATCACATTTGCGTCTTTTTTTTTTGTTTTCCTTTTTTTTTTTTTTACNGTGGTGGTTTTAGATATACTGAAGGTACACAAGCAAAATGCATTCTCCAGAAGAGTGACATTAATGCCAAAGAAAGAACTCAATGATTATAGTTGTTGTCATCAAATGCTGCTCTTTCGATACCAAAACTTTTGAAAAATTGTTAACAAAAGCTTCATTTATCATCCACAATCGCAAATACTCCCTCGACAATAGTTTGTATGTAAACGAATAAACTTCAGTTTGATAGATTTTCTTTCATAATTTGTTGTCAAATACTGCTGTTTCGATACCAAAAACTTTTGAAAATAGTTAACGAAAACTTCATTTATCGTCCATAATCGCAAATACTCCCTCAACAATAGTTTGCATGTAAACGAATAAAACTTACAGTTTGATATATTTTCTTTCATAATTAGGCTAAACCACAAAGTTCGTTGTGTAATAATAATCCCCAATAATTTTTTTTTTAATTTATATCAGCATTTTTCATATCTGTATTACAGAAAGAACAACACACCTGAACCGCACTCTCCTAAGCTCCCGAGCGCCACCTGGCAAGGCTCTGATGGTGATGTAGACTCCAGGCTCGTCTTGCTCGACCCACTCGCTGTCCAAATCGCTAGCGTTGCTCACTGAGAGCTCTCCAGAGTGGTCGATCTCTCTCGACGAGCTCGACCGCATTGAGGCATCCATGGACAGCTTGGGAGTCGAGTTGAGTCCACCTGGCGAATGGTGAAGAAAACGAGAATGTAACGGGCTTTCGTATTGCTCACATGACTCTGATGACGAGTGATCGACTTTTGTTGCCCGATGGAAGTGGCGAGGTAGATGTTCTTTGCTCAATGGAGGTGTCACGGGACTGTCCTCGATCGAATCGGATCTTGAGGCCTGAGAGAGAGAGAGAGAGATGACAAAAATGTCAATGAGGTATGTGTAATTTTGAGCTAAATAAGCAAGATATATAATCCAGATATGGCAGGTAAAAACGCGTTATTCATTCTAGAAAAAAGAATGTAAGAAAACAAACCTCTTCGGATCGTGGAGGAGTTGGCATAGGTGCTTCGTGACGATTAAACCTCTGGACGTTGTATAATTCCATTACTTTGTCACAGTTATCAGTCCACCACCTTTGAGCTTGCCACTTGTTGAAAACATCTCGACTGTAAAAGTAAAAGCCAACCAAAGGAAGTCAGGCAAGTAGAGCATATGTGATATGTCAATTGGCTTTTTGAAATCCCTTTCAAGTGTTGAAGAAGAAAAGGGACTGGCAAAAACATGCTATGCGTTAGAATCATTCAATGATTGGATATAGCTAATAAAACCAGGATTTCTGAACCCAATGGGGCTCGGGGAAATAAAAGAAATGCTTTAAATTTCTAAGTGACGGATGAATAAATATTCACATAAGTTAGCAAAGAGAAACTAACCAAGGTAATTGAAGTAAAATTATGACAAAATGAAAAGAGATTAGACAACTAGAGAAGGTTTGAAGCATTACTAATGGGAAGAAGAAAAAAACATAAATGAAAAGGAAAAAGAAAAAGAAAATGCAGAAAGACGATAAAGAAGAGCACAACTTTGGTCATCTTTAACCTTTTTTTTTTTCTCTTCTCTATTTGTGCTCAATATTATTCTCTTTTGCAGTTAACTTATCCCTTTTAGAATATATTCAGTTCTGGTGTTGTTTCGTGTCAACGGAGATAACGAAATTTAAATTTTATAATGCTATGATGATGCAATAGTCAAAAATTCAATTGCTCTAAGGTCCACATGCCCACTCAATACAACTACATCAATGTACAACCAAAATATACTTAAAACCACACCATCCACCTAGGACTATAATTGCAAATTTAGTCTAGTTATAGAAAGTTGGCCATAACAGTCTAGCAGGAATCAAGATCACTAGGTTTTCTTTTTATCCTTTTCTTCCTTTGATAATTTTGATGAAAAGCAGATTCCATTAGAGTACTTTGGTCTCCAAATTGAATTTGCCCAAAAATCCATGTGCCCACATTTTCTATCCAAAAATATTGATATGTAATTCAACCCAGTTCCGCAACATATCTAACTTTTTTTTGTCTCAGTTAAAAGGAAAAATCGCTTGGAAGATACACAGATTATATACAAGGATACTTGAAACAAGTGAGAGATACTAGAAAGAGTTTCAATAATGTATGGACCACAATGGCTTGTAACAAGATCAAAATTTCAATTCATCACCCGCTATGTAATCAAAACACCCTTCAAAATCAACATCCTGCAACAACATTTTTACTTTCACCACCCAAAACAGATCGAACAAATCACAACTTTCAGATTTCAGATCCAAAAGGGACCATTTGCAGTCAGTGACCCATAATCAGTAATATAGAATCGAACATCCGAAAGTCAATTGAGAAATGTAAAGGCAGCGAAACACAAACACAAATCCAAATCGAAAAAACTTATCACCTGAATCGGATCCTTTTCAGATGATTTCCACCCTGAGGCAGCGAAATGAAAGTAATCAACACTCCCGGCTCAACCTGTGCAACCCATTCTTTAGGCTCATCTTCCTCCATGAACAATACTGACTCAGTTCTACCACTAACTGAAGCTGGCGTGGCTGAGCCGCTCGAAAGGGCTCTCAGTTTGGCTTCCAAATCCTTTCCCCTGAGTCGAGGCGTGGAATTTGAGCTGCCCGGCCTTCTGTACGAGCCGTGAAACCTCTCAGACACTGAGCCAAAGTCCGAGTCTAGATAGTCCTGTTTATGGCCCGACGAGCCCGAACATGGCCTGCAGTTCTTATATGCACCAGATGCCTTCACTGCCATGTCCTTGATCTGAATCACATGCCCACACGAAAAGCCAGGATGCATTAATACAAAATTTATGAATATTTGGACGAGTTTGTGATGAAATTCCATCTCTTAACACAGAAAACCATAATGCCCGAGTTTAATGGTGATTACTGATTATCCCGCTCTAAAATTCAAAAAGAAAAAAAAAAGGTAGTAAAACGATAAGTCCAAAGTAAGTCGAAGACCTGAGTGGTGAAAGCCTTAATAGTTTGCTTGGTGGACGGCGTGGCGGCATTTTCATCGTCTTCCGGCGGCTCGGGGAGAGATCCGTTCGCATTCAGGTTGTGCTTCGAGCACGCTATGCAAGTCAACATTCTACTGAACAAAACGGCGGCGTTTCAGAACAAAATGGGAATTCAATTTATCCGTATCGCCACGCACGCTCGTGGGCCATGGAAAAGCTGGTAACACGAGAGCGTGAAGAACGAAAGAAAAATTAGAAGATTGAAGCTTGAGGGAAGAAAAATGGCCCCTTCGAATTAAGAGCTCGGGAAGTGGCCAAGGGTGCGTCAATGGCTGAACCAGGAAATGGGCTCTCAAGAATTTTCAGAGAGAGAAAGCTGCAGCGTCCAAATCACAGATCAAGAAAGTGGGGTCTGATTTATTCTATGTTTTCTCCCTTGACAAGTCCATAGCTCACATGTGATAAAGTGTGACAGAGAAGGAAGAAACACTAGAAAAAAATTAAGAAATGGTGGGGGGAAGGATCACTGGATCAGAGGAGCTGTTGAGATTTGTGGGGTTGACGATGAAGAAATGGAGTGGAAGTGTGAGTTGCAGCTTGTGTAGGTAGTCATTTGTAAATGCTAATGATGGGGGCTATTAATTTGCATTTATATTATACTAGTACAATACCCGTGTATTACACGGGTGTTGAATTAGAAAGCTTTTGTAAAAATATTAATTTTTTTTAAAACTAAAATAATTTAATTTTATATAAAATATTAATTTCGGTTTTAATTAAATTGTCAAATTATATTTTTTTAATCATAATTAAACACCCGTACATTAAATGAAAATATCAACCCGTGTTGAATTTTTTTACTTATATCATATAAAAGTATCGATATTATTTCCTATTATATAAGTACAAAAATATATAACTTAAATAAATAGAAATAATATGGTGATATGTATATGCATAAGTGTAAAATATGTTTATTTAATACTAAACAAATAAATTAATTTTTTTTACTTAATTAGATGCCTAATACATCAAGTGTCGTATCAGACGTGCTTCACAGTTTTTTAACTGTATATGAAATTTTAGAATTTATATAAATAATTATTTATTTTTATTACATTGACAATATACCAATTAGATTTAGAATAAATATAATTTTTAAAATAATACATACCAATTTCTATTACTTTATAATATAACTTATAGTTTTATTTAATATAATTTATTTTAGTTTGATAAATAAATTTAAATTTTATTTATAAGGATATATATTATTGTTTTGTATTATATATATATAAAAATAAATAGTAAAATACAAACGGACTTTATAATATCAATTCAAATGCAACACACTAATTAAGATTTTTTTCTTGACAATATTAACTCTATTTAATGGATGTTATGAGAAACGATGAATATGTGATATGAAGAGACACTATAAATATGAACAAAATATCTAAAACGACATTTATTTTATCAATGATAAGTCAAAGTGACAATTAAAAAAAATAGGAGGAAGTATATATTATTATATATTTTAGTATGACACATGTTACTTATGCGACTTATATGTGTTATATTATAATAAATTTTCTACCTTATAACATATAACTAAATTAAACATAAATATATTAATTGATAATAATTTTATTTTCTAATTAATTTTAATAAATATTTTTTTTATTATTATAAAGATAAATATAATTTATTTAATTATTTTATATATACAATATCGATGTCAAATCGAAACTCATCAAAAGATGATTAATTTGATATTTTATATATGTAAAAGCGATAAGAAATACAAAAGTTATCAACTTTTAAAATATATTTTCGATTCAATGGTTATAATAAGAAATAATATTAAAATACAATTAATATAAATATTAATTTATATCCAAGCCTAACTCCAAAACATGATTTTTTGTCAAATAAGATTCCGAAGCATGAGAGTTTGACACGTAGGCTCAGTGCATTCTGAAATTATATATAGAGGGGATTCTATAATAATTATTGTTAAAAATAGTTATATGAATTAGAATTGATATTTAGTGTATTTAGTATTTACTATGATGTAATAAAGTGCTAATGAAAGAAAATATATTTCAATAGAATTTATAAAAATAAATAAATAGAAGAAATTTTTATTTTAACTTGTGTTGCTTACCTATATACATTTAATTAAAAATTTGTGATAAATGATAAATTAATTAATTTAGAGCTTATAATTGTATTTTATAAGTGGATTGAAAAACTAGGTGATACTTAATAAATTATTCATTTTTAAACTTTATCTTCTTCTTTTTTTTTCATATACAAAAATTTTTAATGCCAAGAATAGGAGTGTTCATCGGGCGGACCGAACTGAACTACCAAAACCGAATTATTAAATTTCATAAACCGAACCGACCGAATTAAGTGCCTAAAATCGAAGTTTAACCGAACCGAATTGTTCGGTCGATTAACCGAATATTTACAAAAAATAACAATTTTTTTAGGATTGTTTATTGAGCCAAACTTCTGCTGTTCTCCTAAAATATCAGTACAAAGTATGTATACATCACGTGATAAGTAAACTGTAAAATTAATATTTACATAATTTACGTATCAACTGAACGAATAAAAATGTTGAAAACATGTGACACACACATTAATATTGAGCTAGTGTACGATAACTACAAAGTACATTAACTTCAAACTTCAAATCACGTTACATGCACATGAATATTCAGATACTTTACAAGACATCTAAAAGTACTTCAATTTGGAATCAAAACACAATATTTAATTATAAGATACACCTCGCTGCACAATATGATTCATCCATCATTTCTCTTAACATGTCTAACACTCGTGGAATTACCTAGACATCCAATGATCAAACATATGTAACACATGATTAAATTTTTATTGATTTTTCTTAAAGGATGTTATTCCGTTAAGTTTGATTAAATTTTATTGATTTTAATAACATAGTCAAACAACTTTAGAATCTTATAAACAATTGTTTTTGTAATAATAATAATAATAACAATAATAATAATAATAATCAAACTGTTATTATCTAATGATAATTAACAATTGTTCATAATAATAAACAATTATTAATTTATTTTTCCTAATGATTTTTAAAAATGTAATATGTTCATTATCTAAAATTTTAATATTAATTTCTAAAATATTACTTATTATATTTTATGTATATCTGTGCATGTGCACAGGATATTTACTAGTTTGACAAATTGTTATTTGAATCTCCTAATCAAATTAGCAAATACAATCAATTGTCGGTCACCTAACAATGCCAAACTAGTCGAGCATAATTTGCAATTTGAGTTCCTTAGGATAGTTTTGAGAAAATGTTTGATTACGATAATATTATTTAAATAGTATTTATTAATTTCTAGAACTATATCTGGGCTGCTGAATTGTGGATCACAACCAGGTAGTGGTTGGGTGGACTGTGAAGAGTGGACACAATATCTATAAATATGAACCTTGGGCCAGACATTTTTAAGCTCAATTAATCCCATCAAACGAATCCAAGTGCATCTCATATATTAATTTTTCAAAGGGTTATAGTGTGCCTTTTAGCCTTAAACTTTTGGGACGGCCCAATGAGCCCATTTTTTTGTCTGTCGCACAACAGTTGGCTTGTCAAAAAGGAAACACTCGTACATTTTATTTTTTCGAAGCTAATTCTCAAGCTTTATCTCATCTCTGAAGACTCGTGCATCTGTTGTCCTTCAAATTTTCTGAATCACATAAGCATTTTTCAAATTCCCACTTTTCAGTTTAACTTCCACTGTTTGATTCAAGAGTTTGGATCAATCGGTACTTGTAGGATTTCAGCATCCTTTAGTTAATTATCTATGGCACCGGCGGAACCCAACAGCGGCGGCAGCGCCAGTGGCGGAGCCACCAGAGACCAGGCGCCGGTCAAGGTTCCCTCGAAAGACCCCAAGAAGAAAGATGATAAGAAGGACGAAGATCTTGTAAGTCGTAATCTTATTTATTTATTTTAATAATTGCTTAAAGAAGGTTGGATTGTGTGAGATTCTACTTTTACAGTCGAATGTTTGGGTTGTTGCTTTTGATATGGACTGTTCATTGACTCAATGCACCTTTTGTTTTGCGTTTTAGTCGGAGGAGGACTTGGCCTTGAAGCAGCAACTGGAGTTGTACGTGGAGAGGGTACAAGATCCAGATCCTGGGCTGCAGAAAGTTGCCCTGGAGAGCATGAGGTCTTTGTCTTTTCTTATTGTTATTATATTTTAGCAAGTACTTCATTTTTTGATTAATTGGAAATGAAATTGCTCATTATCTTTGCGATTAGGGTTGTTGAGTAGTTTGGGAGAGGACAGGGTACATATTTGCTTTTGAAATTTCAACCCATTAATGTGGCCTAACTGTGGTAGAAGCTGATATATCTATTTTTAAGAGCTGGATGAGCCAGTTGGCATGTGGGCTGTTATTCCATGGTCATTTCACTTTTATATCATTCATGTGTATAGTATGTCAAAAGAGAGCCTAATAGTGTGGCATTTCGAGTTAGTTAGCATTTCGAGCATGTTAATTCGGTAGTTAGCATTTCGAGCATGTTAATTTGGCAGTTAATAATGATGTATAATGGATATCATTCTAGTCAATGTGTACAATATACTGTTTAATACTATCTGAATGGGGTTGCTTGTTTTTTTGGTGTTAGTATAGTATTATTTAAGAATTAGGGTACTGTCATGGAAGTAGAGAAGGTTACCTATCGAAAGAGAAAACATCAACATCTTCAGTGGAAGGCTACTTTAAAGAACCAAAGCACCTGAAAGGATAACACTATGTTGCAATATCAATGTAATATGCATACTGCATAGCTCTTCTCAAGCAAATATCTACTGTTTAGGCGAAAGACTTCTCCTTCTTGAACTACTAGGATTTTAAAATAGAAATTATCATCTGTTTAGGCTAATACTGTATTACTATGTGCTAAGGATTTTAATAGCTTAACCTGTGTATCTCATCATAAAACCTTCAAGGCCGATGCTTTGGCATTAATCTTGCTGTCTGGCATTGTATGTATATAATATTTTATTTTGGTAATTATAGCAAGGTCTTTTGAGATGTCAGTTTGGATTATTCTACTAGGCAAAGGTGTAAGCTCAATATCTTTCCATATTTGTGTTTGTTTAATAATCACACATAAAATGTATTTTGCCTCAAGTAGCAGTAGAAGCTATTTAGTATTTCCAATAGTTTTGTCATCATTTTCAACTTTCTTTTCTTCTGCAGGCAAGAAATCCGTACTGCAACCAGTTCTATGACTTCAGCTCCAAAGCCACTGAAGTTCTTACGTCCTCATTATGGGACTTTACAAGCTCAGTATGAGAAAATGGCAGATTCAGATTTGAAGGTGATAATTATATGGTTAATCGATTATCTTGATTTTCCGTGGCATAGATGTATTGCACGTATTTCTTGTCTGATTTTTCCTTGTCCCCTCCCTTTCTAGAAATTGCTGGCGGATATACTTTCTTTTCTGGCTTTGACCATGTCGCCGGAAGGAGAAATGGTACGCTGTACTGTTACGCCATACTTTATGATGCACTTTCATCGTTTTCCAGATTTTTTTGGGACACCTTGTGGAATAAGCAAAAAGAGCAGATTAATCTACCTGTGCCTTCCGTTTACCTGTTTTATGCATTCCCCTTTTATTACTTTCAATATTTTGTTACTGTGCAGCCAATTCTATGTGATCTTTTGGTTTGCCACTGTGGGTTTTGATGTATTATAGCTGTTTCACCATTCATAAGTAGACTCTATTTGCCCGATAGTGTGAATATAATTGGAAGAACATTTACTGCTTCGAATATTTTTTGCAGAATCGAGAGTAATTCATGTTGGAATGTGAAATTTTAGTTTGCACTTGCATATATTTTCTGCATCAGTACCACGTTCTGTTTTAACTTTTATTCAAGTGAGATGTTCTGATTATAATTCATAGACTAAGTTATAGTGTGGCTTCATTAGTTGAATTATTTCTGTATTTTACAATGGAAATGTTTGACTCGATTTGTGTTTGGAAATGATAATTGACGAAGAGAAGTGGAGCTTATAAATTATTTCTACTTTATCTGAAGCTGGATGTAGCCTGAGAAGAAAAAACAAAGGTTTTTGGTGAAAGAATTTTGATTAGTGTTTGCAAGGATTTTATATTAAGGAATAGGATTAGCTTTTTAATTCTTCCAGGCATCTCTCATGAGCCTGTTGCTTGCTGCCTACGCAATATTTCCAGAACCTCAGCCTATATCTCATGTGTAATATCTTTATGTCTTACAGGTTCTTCTGTGCTCTTTAATTTTACTCTCTTTAATTTTGCTTTGACTGACTGCAGTATGATTAATGGTTTGTGCTTGATCAGATTTTTGTGGAAACTTTTCCATATGAGATGTGATAATATTTCCAGCAAATACTATTAATTTCAGGAGAGCTTGAAGTACCGATTACTTGGTTCTGATGGTGACATTGGTTCATGGGGTCATGAGTATGTTAGGTGAGGGTTTGGACTCATCTCGCCTTGGATTATTTTGTTCAAGTCGTCATTCTGTTTGAGCATGAATGATCTGTGTCTTAGCTCACTGTTAGCGAATATATCAATGACTGCTACCTTTGTTTGTATCAAATGTTATTTTAGAGGTTTAGAGCATGTTTGTTTATGGAATTTTTCAAAAAATTTCAAACATTTTAACTCAACCATACTATCATCAAAATTATCAATATAATTAAATAATATCAATCATACAGAATGGGGAGTTGAATGTGCTAGTGTGTGCCCATTGAAGCTGCTACGAAACTATATATTGCGTATGCACATCTGGAAACGAAAAATATAATTCTACTTAGCATTTGGTGGTCATTTCTCAGTAATATAACTTTTTTTTTTTTTTTTTTTTTNAGAATGGCGGATAAAGACGCACCAACCGATAGCAGTAACCATAGCGAGAGCAATGTCCATCCAGAGCACGAATTATCGATCAACGCCTTAGCGAAAAAGGTTCAAGAGTCCCTTTCTCTCTCCAAACGCCACAAATTCTGGGAAACTCAGCCCGTGGGCCAGTTCAAGGATCTTGGGGACTCGAGCCTGCCCGAAGGCCCAATCCAGCCTCCCACCCCTCTGCAAGAAGTCAAACAGGAGCCTTACAACCTCCCGGCCCCTTACGAGTGGATCACATGCGACATAGACTCTGAGGAGGTTTGCAGCGAGGTTTACACCTTGTTGACCAACAACTATGTCGAGGACGATGAAAACATGTTCAGATTCAACTACTCTAAAGAATTCCTCCGGTGGGCCCTACGCCCCCCAGGCTACTTCAAGAGCTGGCACATCGGAGTCCGTGTCAAGAGCTCGAAAAAGCTAGTCGCTTTCATAACCGCGATCCCGGCAAGAATCCGCGTACGCGAAACAGTCGTCGTTCTCATGGCCGAAGTGAATTTCCTTTGTGTCCACAAGAAGCTCCGCTCCAAAAGGCTGGCTCCTGTTATGATCAAGGAGGTCACTCGTAGGGTCCACCTGGAGAACATCTGGCAGGCGGCTTACACAGCTGGCGTCGTGCTCCCCACGCCAATCACGACGTGTCAGTACTGGCACAGGTCTCTCAACCCGAAAAAGCTAATCGATGTGGGTTTCTCCAGGCTCGGGGCCCGGATGACCATGAGCCGCACGATCAAGCTGTACAAGCTGCCAGATCAGACAGTGACTCCCGGGTTCAGGAAAATGGAGCCCCACGACGTGCCAGCTGTCACCCGTTTGCTGCGCAACTACTTGAAGCAGTTTGCTGTGGCGCCTGATTTCGACGAGAATGATGTCGAGCATTGGTTGCTGCCCAGGGAAGATGTTGTGGATAGTTTTCTGGTCGAGAGCCCGGAAAATCATCAGATCACTGACTTTACCAGTTTCTACACTCTTCCGTCGTCTATACTAGGCAGCCCGAACCACTCGATTCTCAAGGCGGCTTATTCCTATTATAATGTCACTACCAAGACTCCTCTGCTTCAGCTGATGAATGATGCACTCATTGTTGCCAAGAAGAAGGATTTCGATGTTTTTAATGCTTTGGATGTGATGCACAATGAGAGCTTTTTGAAGGAGCTCAAGTTCGGGCCAGGGGATGGGAAGCTTCACTACTATCTGTACAACTATAGGCTCAAGCATGTCCTCAAGGCATCCGAGCTCGGGCTTGTGCTCTTGTAGATTGGGCCGGCATCTCTAGAGGATGTGGTTTTTTTTTTTTTTTTTTTTTTTTTTTTAGTTTT